GACAGCTTTAGGAGATGCCGAGTGACCAAAATGCCAGGAGACTTTACACATCAGCTGTGCAGCTTAGACTTCAGGCATAGAGAAAAATGTTTCACTCAAAGCCGAAGGCAAATGAACGTAGTTCAAGGTTCAACATGCCCGGATGATTTTCCACATACATACAGTGGAGTCCTAGTATAGACCCACAGGCCATGGGTAAGAGTCATAACCTTCATTTGTTTTATATGGTGGAGAGCTAGTGAGAGTACCTTTGAAGAACCAGTTTTATTGCTAACACAAGTTTGCCATCTGATGGATCAGCGCCGTGTGCCCTTGGTCACGGTGGCATGGCGGTGGTAACATCCTCATGCCTCTCGGGGTAGGTTGCTGGCCGTGACAGCACCGGTCTGCTCTGAACATTCTGGCATTGTCCTGTCATGTCCTGCTGGCAGACAAGCAGGCTCCCAACCTTGAGATCATCCCCACAATGATGCGTGCGTGACAGGCTCTGATGGCATGTGTCACGTGCATTTGCGGTGGCTCCGTGGACTGTCCCATGCAGAGCACAGGTTCCTGAGTCTCCCCTGTCCTTACCTGACTGTATGCGTCCTCCATCTCTCATTCCAACACAGAGGAGAAGGGAAGCCATTAGAGATGTGGCAGGCCACTGGGTGCTTTTGCATAAGTAAACTCAGGGCACAGCCCATTTCACCCTACCTCTGGGCAATCAATACAGATAGTGTTGAGATTCCACACAGGGCCAAACCCTGGCGATCGGTGACAGCTGTATCTGAGGAAGCCAGTCTTGTCCAGTAGGTAAGTTCCTTGGCTTTCCCTTTGAGTCACCCATTAAAGAATATGGGATTTGGGAGCTGTTGAACTCATGCTGTAAATATATCGGTGGAGAGAGGACCAGAGAGATAGAGAGTTGGCTGTCTACAGTTTTTTTTAATACTTTTGTTGTTGTTGTTGTTGGTCATGGGACTTGAACTCGGCCTGGGCGCTGTCCCTCAGCTCTTTAGCTCAAGGCAAGTGCTCTACCACTTGAGCCACAGCGCCACTTTCAATTTTTTAATGGCAGCGGCAAGAATCCTAGGGTCATTTGTTGTTATAGTATTTTTTTTTTTTACTCTTTTTAAAATTAAGAATTGAGTTTCTATATTAGCAAAATTATTTAGAGCTACTTTTTTTTGTGAGACAGAGTCTTGCTGTGAAACTCAGCCTAGTGAACCAGCAAAAAGCTCAAAGGAGAGGTGTGGCTCAAGTGGTAGAGTGCCAGCTTTGAGTGCAAAAGCTAAGGGACAGTGTCCAGAGAGAAAGCTGGGATAGAGCCTAGGCCCTGAATTCAAGCCTTAGGACTGGCCTAATAAAAACCCCCAAAGTCAGTGTTGGAGCCCTGATCTGCTGGGGACAGATGACCAGGTATAGCTAGGCTCATAGCATCCAGGTTGTAAGGGACCCGGGCTCCAGTCTAGGTCCCATGCTTTTCTGTGTGCACACACAAAGCAGCCATGAATAGGCATGCATTCACACCTCGCACACCTTTATGAACTTCCTGGGACCCAAGTAGTCCTTGCAGGCCTTAGTGGTGGGCGGTCATTTTATCATACTGACTGGCGATTGTAGTCTGTAGGGCTGTGGTCACAATATTTGAGAAGTTACTCAGCAAATCAAACAGACACTCTTGTCCCCGCTGTGGTACTCATAGTTGACAAATGACTTAAGTGCTTCCCCAGCCCCGCCATGCCTGCCGTGCTGTGTGTATGAAACTGTATTTGAGGCCCATGTCTCTTAACTAGAACTCTGCAGCACCCCAGCTTCGGTAAATTTGCTTTTCATAAATCCCTGTGGACACTCAGACTAAAAGCGGCCTTGGCAACCAATATCTTTTGAATAAATGAGTCAGTAGTGACCATAAGTTAAAAAGAAAACAAAGGCCATTTGAGTCATTGACAAGCATTCTCCTTCCCTATTATACAGAAGTTCTTCTGGCTGTGGCAGAAGGAAGAGATGTCATCTTGGTTTTAGATGATGGTTTTGGTTGTAGAAGATGGTTTTGGTTTGTAACCCAGGCTGCTTTGTAACCCTGGGTTATTGTAGCCCCGGCTTGCTTTGAAGTCAGGATTCTCCTACCTGTATCTCCCGAGAGTTGGGATTACAGGCATATACTACCACACTTGGCTCAGGAAAGGAGTTTAGTAGTAGAAGTGCAGATCCTTCACCCCAGCATCAGCATCTCTGAACTTTAGACATAAAGCAACTTACTTCTACAGCTGTGGAAAACTTTTGATTCCTGAATGAAAGCAACTAAACCTGTGAAGGAAAGAATGTTGAGAACAAATCTATGTGAGAAATGGAGACGGGACTAGAATTTTGGAGACTTGGGTTCCAGCCCACGCCCATCCTCTGATCCAGCTGGTTGGTTTCAGATCATTCATCGCCTTCTGGGGGCCTCAGTTTCCCTTTTCTGAAAATCAGAGCATGGAACTGATGAATACTTCCTACTCTCAAATTGCCGAGAAAGCATGTGGAAGAAACTCATTGGTAGATAGGAATGCCAAAGTATCTTTCAATTTAGGCACAAAGACAATTGTACCTAAATAGAATTTCTTACTGTGATTTTCTTTTTCCCCTGAAGGTTCATGTCCTGGATATATTAAGAAAAAGATTTAAGCTGGGTGCTGGTGGTTCACACCTGTAATTCTACCTACTTGGAAGGTTGAGATCTAGAAAATCGTGGTTCAAGGCTAGCCTTGGCAGAAAAGTCTGAGACTTTTTTTGGGGGGGGGGGGGCGGTCTGGTTGTGGGGCCTAAACTCTGGGCCTGGGCGCTGTCCCTCAGCTCTTCAGCTCAAGGCTAGCGCTCTACCACTTGAGCCACAGTGCCACTTCCAGCTTTTTCTAAAAGCTTATGTGGTCCTGAGGAATTGAACTCAGGGCCTCATGCATGCAAGGCAAGCGCTCTACCACTGAGCCACCTTCCCAGCCCAAGTCTGAGACTCTTATTTCCAAAATAACCACTAAGAAGCTGGGCTGGCTCTGTGGGTTAAGCAGTAGAGCAAGCACCTAAGTGAATGTGAGACCTTGAGTTCAAACCTTGCTATTGAGGGATAAAAAAGGATTTAAAAGTATATGCCTTGCTAGTAAAGAACTTAGTGAATCTACTTAAACAGTCTTTTTTTTTTTTGCTGGTTGTGGAGCTTGAACTCTGGGCCTGGGCACTGTTCTGAGCTCTTCAGCTCAAGGCTAGCACTCTACCACTTGAGCCATAGCACCCACTTCCAGCTTTTTCTGTGTATGTGGTGCTGAGGAATTGAACCCAGGGCCTCATGCATGCAAGGCAAGCACTCTACCACTGAGCCACCTTCCCAGCCCCTTAGTGAATCTACTTAAAATTGCATGTAATCCTAGCTACTCAGCAGGCTGAGATTTGAGGATCAAGGTTCCGAGCCAGCCTTGGCAGGAAAGGTCCCTGGGATTTTGATCTCCAGTTAACCACCAGAAAAGCTGGAAGTGGAGCTGGGGCTCCAGTAGTAGAGTGCTAGCCTTGAGCACAGGGACAGCACCCAGGCCCAGGACAGGCGCATACATACATACACACACAAAAAATCCAGTGTTGTAAATAATGTTTCAGTGATTTAATGTTTTGCATATATAGCCAGCAATGCTCAAAGCTTTCTGTGGATTATCATTTTCCTTAAAGCATCTCGGTGAGGACACTAACATGGTCATCTCCACTTTACTTGATAGAAAGAAAAACAGGGGGAGAAGGGGAGAGAAAGGGAAGAGAAAGAGATCTTTCTTCTTAGCTCCAGGCATATTCTTCTCTCTTATTCCCTGAATAGCAAGCAAAAAGTTTGCATGTTTGTTTTGTCCATCATGGGGCTTGAACTCAGGCCCTGGGTACTGTCCTTGAGCTCTTTTGCACAAGACTAGCACTCAGGACTGGGAAGGTGGCTCAGTGGTAGAGTGCTAGCCTTGAGCTGAAGAGCTGAGGGACAGAGCCCAGGCCCAGAGTTCAAGCCCCATGACCAACAACAAAACAAAACAAAAACCTGTCCTCTGCCTCCTGAGTAGCTAGGATTACAGGCATTAGCCACCAGTGCGCCCTGGCTTATTTTTTTAATAACAAGGATCATTGGCTTCCTCTCACTGGACAGTTACCCCGCCCAGCGCTTGTTGAGGAAGTAGGCGTGCTGGGTTTCCGTTGTTAGTGGATGGAGCAAGGGTGGAGGGCACTTTGAGAAAATATTTGTGTAAGGAGGAGAGCTGGAAGTGCTGTCTCTGAGTGAGCCGGCCTTTCACCTGTCCCAAGCCTGGCAACCTAGACGCTACTGGAGGGACTTAGAGAGTACTTATTCCAGGAGACCAAGTGTTCCCACGCAGGGGCTTCGAAGCACCCCAAGGCTGGAGACAGTGCCCACAGAATGGAGTTTGGCTGTTCTTGCTTCGAGGCTGACCCAGTACATTCTGATGGTTTCCTTGCAAGCTAGTGGGAACACATTTACATGATTTGATTTCCATATTTGAAGCACGGAGCATTTTTTTTTCCCATTTTGGCTTCAAAAACATTACTCAGGATTTGAGTAATAATTAAGAAGACCAAATTTGTTGTTGTTGTTTTTCAGGTACTGGGGCTGAAACTCAGGGCCTACACATGTAGAGGTATTAACATCAAAATTCCCATTAGCTGATCTTTGAATTTTTCATTTGCCAGTCCTAGGCCTGGAGCTCTGGGCCTGGGTTCTGTCCCCAAGCTTTTATAATCAAGGCTAGTGCTCTATCACTGGAACTACCAACTACAGGACCCCTTCTGCCTTTTGTGGGTCATTGGAGATAAAGAGTCTCATGGACTTTCCTGCCCGGGCTCCCTTCTTCTTGCCTGGGATGCCTTCAGATCATGATCTTTGGATCTCAGCCTCCTGAGTGGCAAGGATTATGGGTGAGCCCTCTGAGCCTGGCAACCCTCATGAATATTTCCTGATAGGCCTTAATAAATCCATGCTTATCTGTGTTTTTCAGGTGAGCCACAGAGTTCTTCATTATGTCCGATGGAGATTACGATTACCTCATCAAGTTTTTAGCATTGGGTGACTCTGGAGTAGGGAAGACCAGTGTACTTTACCAATACACTGATGGCAAATTTAATTCCAAGTTTATCACCACAGTGGGCATCGACTTCAGGGAAAAGAGAGTGGTAAGTTCTTTTTTTCTTTTTATGTTGGTCATGGGGCTTGAACTCTGGGCCTGGGCGCTGTCCCTCAGCTCTTCACCTCAAGGCAAGTGTTCTACCACTTGAACCACAGTGCCACTTCTGGCTTTTTCTGTTTATATGGTGCTGAGGAATCAAACCCAGGGCCTCATGCATGCGAGGCGAGCGCTCTACCACTGAGCCACCTTCCCAGCCCCGAGACTGGTAAGTTCTATATCCTCCTGAGTAGAAAGGTCATCTCGGGCTCCGTGTTCACCTGTCTAATTCCTTTGTAGGTATTATTAGGTGCACGCCTGGAATCCTGGCTGGTCAATAGACAAAGATCTGGAGGACTGATGTCTGAGGCCAGGCTAAGCAAAAACCCTGAGAGACTCCATTCCCAATTAAGTCAACATTTGGAGATGTGGCTCAAGTGGTAGAGCACCAGCTAAGCAATCAAGCTACAGCATGAGGCCCTGAGTTCCAATCCCAGTATTGCCCAAAGAGTAAATAGAGAGGGCCTGGGAATGTGGCTTAGTGGCAGAATGCTTGCTTAGCATGCATGAGGCCCTGGGTTTGATTCCTTGGTACCACATAAAAATAATGAATAAAAAAGGAGTGGGTAGGGGAAAGGCAATGTGTTCTGAAAGCAGTGGTCTGAGGGGACTTTGGGGAAAAGCAAGCTGCTTGGTGTGTGTGTGTGCGTGTGTGTGTGTGTGTGTGTGTGTGTGTGTGTGTGTGTGTGTGTGTATCAATTATTTATTTATTTATTTACTATTGGTCATGGGGTTTGAACTTAGGGCCTAAGTGCTGTCCCTGAGCTCTTCTGCTCAAGGCTAGTGCTCTACCACTTTTTTTTTTTTTTTGGGTCCAGTCATGGGGCCTGAACTCTGGGCCTGGGCGCTGTCCCTCAGCTCTTCAGCTCAGCTCAAGGCTAGCACTCTACCACTTGAGCCACAGCGCCACTTCCGGCTTTTTTCTTTTTGCTTATGTGGTACTGAAGAATCGAACCCAGGGCCTCATGCATACAAGGCAAATGCTGTACCACTGAGCCACCTTCCCAGCCCGTGCTCTACCACTTTGAGCTACAGCACCACTTCTGGTTTTCTGAGTAGTTTATTGGAGAGAAGAGTCTCACGGAGTCTTTCCTACCTGGTCTGGCGTCGAACTGCGATCCTGAGATTACAGGCATGAACCACCGGCGCCTAGCCTTGTGATATATTTATATGAGTATATAACATCTATACATTTTTATTACAAATGACTGGCTTACGCCCATATAATTACATGACATGAAATACAAATAATAGACATGTGGTTGCGTTGCAGACGGGTTCTCTTGGGGCGCTTGGGGATGGAAACTGAAGAGAAAGAGAGGAAGAGCTTGAGGATCTCACAGGTCCCGGGGCGATTGCTCTTTTCCTTTGTCGTGCAGGTGTACAGAGCCAGTGGGCCCGATGGCGCCGTGGGTAGAGGCCAGAGGATCCACCTGCAGTTATGGGACACAGCGGGGCAAGAGAGGTGAGTACGGCTCACACACAGCAAGAGCCCCACAGCTCCACTCCTCACACACTGACCTGAGCAGCAAAGGCCAGCCACCTGCAGGATTTACCCCTGGATAAGATATGCTGCCCCGTTATCAGCGCGGGTGATAACAGCAGCTCTATTTCATAGAAGGTCACGGGGAAAAATGGAGCCCGTTCAAACTGAAGCTTCCTTCCTTCAGTCTTCCCCTTCCCCTTTTCCTCCTTCTCTTCTTTGTTTTAGATCTGTCCACATCCCTTCCCTTCCCCACTCCCCTCCCATTATCGCTTGCTATTTATTTAACTTTAAGATGGCTGCACATGTTCATGTAGCTTTCCTGCTTGTTGAAACCTAGTTGAAAATCTGGTTGGAATTGATGCCTGTGGTCAAAGGTTACTTGACTAGGAGAAATCATGTGACATCTTGACACAAGCTTGCTTTTAGCTACCTCTCAGAGCGTCCTTGAAATTTGTTTTTTTTTTCCCCCCTAAACTTTTCATATATGGAAACCCTCAAGCATATACAAAAGTAAAAAGCACAAGCCGGGCACTGGTGGCTCATGCCTGTAATCCTAGCTACTCAGGAGGCTGAGATCTGAGGATCGAGGTTCAAGTCCAGCCTGGGCAGGAAAGTCCGTGAGACTCTGATCTCCAATAAGCCACCAGAAAACTGGAAGTGGTGCTGTGGCTTAAAGTGGTAGAGCCTTGAGCTGAAGAGCTGAGGGACAGTGCCCAGGCCCAGAGTGCAGAGTGCAAGCCCCATGACCAATTTCCCCTCTCCCCCACCCCCCCGCCCCCCGCCGAAAAAAAGACTTTTTTGTTGTTGTTGTCTTTGTTGGTTGTGGGGCTTGAACTTGGGGCCTGGGTTCTGTCCCTGAGGTCCTTTACTCAAGGCTAGTGCTCTACCACTTTGAGCCACAGCACTACTTCCAGCTTTCTGGTAGTTAGTTGGAGATCAGAGTCTCATGGACTTTCCTGCCAGGGCTGTCTTCAAACCACAATCCTCAGATCTCAGCCTCTTGAGTAGCTAGGATTACAAGTGTGAGCCACTGGTGCTGGGCTCTCAGCTTTTCATTAAAATATTGGAAAAAAAAAACCCAAAACCTTTAGTATTCTGATTAGCTGGCAAATTGACACCAATGTTTTCTTCCCTGACATCGCTCCATTGGTTACAGACTTTCCATACAGGCAAAATGAGAGGAAAGTTACTATCAGAAGGAGACACAGGAACAAAGTCTTGGGAGGCAGAGTGTCAGGAAAGAGTAGGGTGTGAATTAATAGCATTCCCACCTTAGAACCAAGGAAATGGTCATCAAAGAGGAGATTTCTATAGAGACTTGAGCTAGAAGACCAGCGCACACCTACAAGACCTCATAGGACAAAAACATGTACAGAAAGCAACCTGGCTTTTGGCCCAATGAGCTCATAATTGTACCAGAAATTCCTGGCTGACACCAAAGGATCACGAGCTAGTTCTCCAAGTCCTTTCCAGCAGGCTGGCTCTTCAGATCACGTGGTCTGTTAACTCAGACACTTACATAAGAGCTAAATACCTGCCCTGCACCCTTTGGAAGAGCATCATGGAGTTTGTTAGGGGTGAATTGGTGGAAGAGGGCTGGGGCCTGCCTGGCAGCTCTGTCTCTATGTGTCATCTGGGGCCATGGCTCAGGTGACACATTTGATTTTATGTCCCTAGGTTTCGTAGCTTGACAACAGCATTCTTCAGGGATGCGATGGGTTTTCTTCTCCTTTTTGATCTGACGAATGAACAAAGTTTCCTCAATGTCCGAAACTGGATAAGTAAGTATCACTGCACCCCTGCCTTCTGGGTAGCTTTCTCTGGAATAGAGTCCCTCGTAGGGCTACTTATGTTGGAAGCTGTTTGAAGGAGATCACTGTCCCACAACTCTGATGTATTTACTGGAGAATTTTGTTTAGGACAGGAGTAGTTTTATTTTATTTTTTGTCCACTGTGGGGCTTGAACTTGGGGCCTGGGTGCTGTCCCTGAGCTCTTTTTATTCTCAAGGCCAGCACTCTACCACTTTGAGCCACGGCTCCCCTTCTGGTTTTCTAGTGGTTCATGGGAGAGAAAGAGTCTCACAGACTTTCCTGCCCTGGCTGGTTTTGAACTGCGACCCTCAGATCTCAGCCTTCTGAGTGGCTAGAATTACAAGCGTGAGCCATTAGTGCCCAGCTTAGTTTTACATTTCTGTAAAATACTATCCTACCCATTTGTATGTCTGTAAACCTTCCTATTCATGCAGTCTTACATATTGTATCACTGATGCTTTGAAAGCATTATGGCCGCACATTCATTTATAGTTTAAAATCACGTTTGAGTGTATTCTCTATCGGTTGTGTGCTTACTCTATTATTTTCTTCTAATAATCTATCTTCTCTTTCCTAGGCCAGCTGCAAATGCATGCCTACTGTGAGAACCCAGATATAGTGTTATGTGGAAATAAAAACGATCTGGAAGACCAGAGGGTGGTGAGAGAAGAGGAGGCAAGAGGCCTTGCAGAGAAATACGGGTGAGCATTTCTGCGTGAGTGAGTCATGCAAAAAGCCCAAAGTGAAAAACGAATGCTAACGCCCACCTATAGGCCTTGGAAGGTGTCACGGTGTACTTTTCCATTTGTTTGCTAGCTTGTTTGTGTTGTGCCCCTACTTAGGCCTTGAACTCAGGGCCTGAGTGCTGTTTCTTAGTTTTTTTATGCTCAAGGCTGGCACTGTACCACTTGATTCCCTAAGCTCCACATCTGGCTTTTTGCTAGCTGGATGTAAGAATCTCACAGGCTTTTCCTGCTGGGGCTGGCTTTGAACTTCAATCCTCAGATCTCCCCCTCCTAAGAAGCTTGGATTACAAGCGTGAGTCACGGGTATCCAGCTCAACATCCCTGCTTCTTATATTAAAATCATATGAGAGTGGGAATCACAGTGTCTTAGTCCCATTTTGTCAATCTCCTGGTTTTTGGAAAAAGACAGCTTTGAATGTAGGCATACTAATGTGTAGAGAGGTGTTCCTTTTTCCTCCCTCTCTTCCTTCCTTCCTTCCTTCCTTCCTTCCTTCCTTCCTTCCTTCCTTCCTTCCTTCCTTCCTTCCCTCCTTCCTTCCTTTTCAGTCCTGGGGCTTGAACTCAGGGCCTGCGCATTGTCCCTGAGCTTCTTTTGTACAAGGCGAGCACTCTTAACACTTGAGCCACAGTGTCACTTCCAGCTTTTTCTGTGTATGTCGTACTAAAGAATCGAACCCAGGGCTTCATGCATGCTAGGCAAGCACTCTACCCCCGAGCCACATTCCTGGCCTGAGAGGTTTCTGAGTTGCAAAGAAGAAAGAAACTCCCCTGTGTTCAGTAAGGCAATTTCACTCAGTTCATACACTGGAGTTGTAGCATATAAGAAGGTCTTACTGGATATCACTGGTCAGGTGCTGAAGTGGAGGTGAAGATCTCCTTTGTTTAGCTGTTTTGAAGAGGGGAGAGATGGTTAAGTTTTCCTCCTGGCTCTGGCACTAGGATCATAGTGATAGCAGTCTGGGTTGTACAGGAGCTGGGAGCAGACTGCCACCTGGTGAGGTATTCAAATATCCAGGGCTCCTCTAGCAAAGGAATTCAGGCTCTACTTTATTTCGACTTCCTGTCCTATGAGAACTCAAGTGTACATTCAAATCCTTAGTATTATAAGTAGGATAAGCCAGGTGCTGGTGGCCCACACCCGTAATCCTAGCTACTGAAGAGGCTGAGAGCTGAGGTTCAAAGTCAGCCCAGGCAGGAAAATGCATGAGACTTAGTCCCCCACGAAAGCACCGAAGGGCTAGAAGTGGAGCTGTGGTTCAAGAGGTAGAGTGCTAGCCTAGAGCAAAAAGGCTCAGGGACAGCGCCTAGGCCCTGAGTTCAGGCCTAAGGACTAACACAAAAAAGAAAAAGGAAAATCTAAGAGGCAGCAGGCAGGATTGGGAAGGTTGTGGGGGGAACAAAGGGGAAGATGGCGTGGATTTCCCAGGAGCCCTCATGAGAGGCTCCCATTGGGGACGGTGAGGAGAGCTGAGGAGAGGCCAGACTCTGGGCAGCTTTGAATGCCGGCTGCGATTAGACTTGACCCCTGCAGGCCCGACATTGCTGAACGCTGAACGTCTGGCAAAATGGAGGGGTGTTAGGGGAGCTTTGTCCTGATCATTTTGAGAGCGGTGGGGAGCAGTGGAGAGAGGAGCAGGTAAGAGACAGGGAGGTGACACTGATGGTGACATAGACCAGGGCTGGATGAGTGGAAAAAAGAAATGAAGGGGGAAATTAGAATGCGGGGGGGGGGGGGGGCGGGGGGGGGGGCGAGGCCCAACTGGGTTTTCAGTCTTTCTCGATTCTGACTCACAGGATGTGAAGGTTTCCACCCCTGGGTAGAGGGGGCTGAATCATGTTAGCAGCACCTGGCGAGCTCTGATCAAGAGCTTCTGTGGGGCTCAGCTCCATGCTTCCGCCTATGCTTGGTGGCTTCCCGGTCCCATGAGTGCGTGTGTACCAGACCCGTCTTGTCAGCGTTTGACATTATGCGGTGGTGGGCACTGGTTTAACCACCTCTGCAGGCGTTGTCTTTTGTGTCTAATGCCGACACTTCAAGTCCCCAGCACACACGCCATCAGGAAGGCAGGATGGGTGTACAGGAGGGGGATGGATATAGAATGCGAGAACCAGCCAGGCATGGTGGTGCATGCCTGTAATTTCAGCACTTGGGAGGTGGAGGCAGGAGGTTGAGTTTTCAAGGTCGAGCTGGCCTATCAAGGAGTCTGAATAAGAACCCAAAGCCCAACACACCACCTGGGACTCCTCCTAGTTGGCCAAACCCCTTTCAGTGGGTGGCTTTGACCTTGATGGGTGCAAACAGCCAGGGTTCTTTGCCACAGAGCTAACCACACATTGCTGAAGAGCGGGACCGTGGAGGAGACGCGACAGGGTGGAGCAGGTGCAGGTCTGGGTGCTGGTTTATGCCAAAATGAGCCAGCAGATGAACACCAGTGGGAAACCGAGTCTTGCTTCCCGTCCATCCACCAATCTCTCCCAGATCTCCCCTGGCCAGGAAGGAAATGTCAGGGATTAATGCTGAGCCTAGCCACGCTTGCTCCCAGTGGAGGCCTGCGCGTGGCTGCCCCTCCACAGCTCTCTGCACGATGTTCCCGGGCCTTGGCTGAGACCCATCGACTCCCCCGCTTCTGCTGTACTTGAGAGGCCCTGGGGTTCTGTGGTCCAGGGCAGAGGGGCTGTCACAGAGCCGGGCACTGTGTCGCAAGGGGTGAGGCGGAAGTCAGCAATGAAGCAACACACCGTGCGGGCCATATCTGTTAGAGTTGACTTCTGTCCATGCCGCCCTCCTTTGGTCATTGGCTGGGGGCCTCTGGGTCCACAGAGACCCTGGCATTACCTCTGTCCCGGCGGGGATAGCCCAGATTGTCCTCCAATTGTGATCCTCTTGCCACAGACTTCCAAGTGCTGGGATTATAGTCATGTGCCACCATACCCAGCTGGGAATGTTTCAACTCACACGACTAAGCTACAATTCACTATACCGGAGCCGATATTACTTAGTAGAGAGTGTAGAGCTGGTTTGTCATAATTTTCCAGGTGCAGACAAAGTGTCTGTGAGCGTGTACATGGCCTGTCAGTGCCTTTCACTCAGCACCCAGCAGACTATGAAAAGGAGCAATTTGCTGCTCCCTTTTGCGAGAACTCCCTCCATAACTTCTGCATTCAGGTGTGAGCCAGATAACGCAGAGCCATTTGGCAAAAACCATCAACCACGCTTGGGGTCTTTCCTGGTGCCCACCCCGATTTAACTGGGGTTAGGATTGTCTAGTTTTGAGGGAATCCAGATTGGAAGAGAGACCAGCTGGGTATGGATTTTTGCTAACCATGATGTGAGCGAGATACGGATATGGTGGTGAAAAACCACTACGTGACCCTCTTGATTTTCTTTTTTTTTTTTAATTTAATTTAATTTAATTTTTTTGTGAACATACTGTACAGAGGGGTTACAATTACATGGGCAGGATAATGCATACATTTCTTACCAAGCATTGCAGCCTCCTCCTTTGTTTACCCTTCACATCCCTTCCCATCCTCCCCCCCTCTCTTGATTTTCTGAGGCTATCATTTTACATAATTTTTAAAATTTAAGATTGGTTGATGAACCTGTTCTTAAAGTACTTTCAAATTCTATGTGTGTGTGTGTGTGTGTGTGTGTGTGTGTGTGTGTGTGTGTGTGTGTGTATCATGGGGCTTGAATTCTGGGCCAGGGCACTGTCCCTGAGCTCTTCAGTTCAAGGCTAGCACTGTACTATTTGAGCCACAAGCGCCACTTCTAGTTTTCTAGTGGTTAATTGGAGATAAAGAGTCTCACGGATTTTGCTGCCCAGGCTAATTTTGAACTGTGATCCTCAGATCTCAGCTTCCTGAGTTTTTTGGATTAGAGGCATGAGCCACCAGCACCCAGCTCCTCCAAATTCTTTGTCTCCATTCTCTCCAAATGACCATTGAGTAGGCATTTATGACAACTTCTAGATGAGCCACAAAATAGCATTTTTCATAATCTGCACTGCTACGTGCTGTTGCAGTATTAGCACCCCCGTGTGGACAGAGGGAGCAATAGCATATTTTCTGTGATTAAATAGGGGACCAGTTGATCCTCTTCAATTTATGCTAAGATTACAAAATTTTTGGCTAAAAAGTTTTGGAACCAGGTACTGGTGGCTCATGCCTGTAATTCTAGCTATGAAGAAGACTGAGATCTGAAGGTCTCATTTCAAAGTCAGGTTGGGCAGAAAGCCCATGAGACTTTTATCTCTTAATTAAGCTGCAAAAAAGCCAGAAATGGAGCTGTAGCTCAAGTGATTGACCATCAGCTTTGAGTGAAAAAGCAAAGAGACAGTGTCTAGGCCCCTGAGTCCAAGCTCCAGTACTAGCATTACCCTCCCCCCCAAAAAAAACAAGCTTTTAGAAATTTATAATGCTTTTGAAAGAAAGGATCCCATTGCATGAACATTTGTTAAGTGCTTTTTGTGTGCCAATCTGGTGCTAAGTGCTGTAAACAGGTAAATCTCCTTTCAGTTTAATAGTTATAGAAATCAGGATTCTGTTAACTCTCCACTGAGAAGATACTTCCTAGATATTTGAGGACTTGCATAAGAAAATGGAAGAGCTGGGTGCTGGTGGCTCACGCCTATAATCCTAGCTCCTCAGGAGTTGGGATCTTGGTTCAAAGCCAGCCTGAGCAGGAAAGTCTGTGAGACTCTTATCTCCAATAAACCACCAGAAAACTGGAAGTGGCGCTGTGGCTCAAGTGGTAGAGGACTAGCCTTGAGCTGAAGAGCTGAAGGACAGCGCCCAAGCCCAGAGTTCAAGCCCCATGACCAACAACAACACAAAAAAAGAAGAGCCTGTTTTTTTTTTTTGTTGTTGTTGTTTTTTGGGTCCGGTCATGGGGCCTGAACTCTGGGCCTGGGCGCTGTCCCTTAGCTCTTCAGCTCAAGGCTAGCGCTCTACCACTTGAGTCACAGCGCCACTTCCAGCTTTTTTCTTTTTGCTTATGTGGTGCTGAGGAATCGAACTCAGGGCCTCAGGCATGCAAGGCAAGCGCTCTACCACTGAGCCAACTTCCCAGCCCCAGAAGAGCCTGTTTTTATGTTTGTAAAAATTAGACCTCTTAACTTCTGGACCTTCCTTGCTATAGGCCTCATTTAAGAAGTTTTTCCTAAGTGAATATAATCAAACTGCCCTCCCCATACCACTTCAGATGTGCCAATTAAAAAAAGAAAAGTTTCTAACAGATAGAATTGAAGCTTCCTTTGTACGCCTCCTGGTTTCTAGCCTGTTCCTGCCTTCTCTGAGAAAACCACTGGGTCTGCTTCCTGTGGTGGACATGGGTTCTGTGGTTGCCAGGACAACGTCCACATCATCCCCTCCCCATTCTGTATAGAATTCTCCTTGTCTTTATACATCTGCTCTATTTCAAGAGCTCCTACTCTACTGGGTGGTGATATTCAACTGTGATCCCTGCACTTAGGAGGCTTACATAGGAAGATCGTGAGTCTAAGCGCAGGCTTAGCTACTTAGACTGACTCTCTCTCTCTCTCTCTCTCTGTGTCTGTCTCTCTCTCCCTCTCTTTCTCTCTTGCTCACACACACATATACACACAAAGGAAAAAAAGAGGACTATTGAAGAAAGATAAGTAAGCTAGTTATGATCTCCATTCCTTTCGCTGGAATTTGGTTTAGCTGTCAGTATGTAATATAATTTTGACCAATGAGACAGGGGAATGAGGGAAACTCTTCTCTGAGAAGCATACACAGAAAACAAAAAACAACAAAAAAAAGACTCCTCTCCCACTTTTTTTTTTTGTACTGGGACTTGAACTCTGGTCCTTATGTTTTCTCTTGGCTTTTTCACTCAAGGCTAGTACTCTACTATTTGAATTCCAGCTCCATTTCTAGCTTATTCTGGTGGTTAACTGGAGATAAGAATCTGATGGAAGCCGGGTACCTGTGGCTCGTGTTTGCAAACCATAGCAACTCAGGAGGTTGAGATTTGAGGATCACGGTTCAAAGCCAGCCTGGTCAGGAAAATCCATGAGAGACTTTATGTCACCTTAACCACCAGAAAAATGGACGTGGCCCTGTGGCTTTGAGCAAAAGAGCTCCAGGACAGCACCAAGGCCCTGAATTCAAGCCCCACGACCTACCAAAAAAAAAAGTCTTGTGGACTTCTCTGCCTGGTCTGGTTTCCTAGGATCCTCAGATCTCAGCCTCCTGAGTAGCTTAGGACTACAGCTAGTGGGGTGCAGCCTCGGCTCAAGAGGCTGAAATCCGAGGATGAGATTCACAGCTAGCCCGGGCAGTCAAATCTATGAGACTGACCTGCAAAATGCCCAAATGGAGGTGTGGCTTAAGCGGTAGAGCACCAGCCTTGAGTGGAAAAAGCCACGCCAGAGCCTACTCTTTTGGAATGATCAAGTGCAGACATTACTGCCCTTCCCAGGTGCATTGGTGACGTGGATTGTCTCTCTTCCAGAATCCCCTACTTTGAAACCAGCGCTGCCAATGGGACCAACATAAGCCAAGCGATTGAGATGCTCCTGGATCTGATCATGAAGCGGATGGAGCGCTGTGTGGACAAGTCCTGGATCCCCGAGGGCGTGGTACGCTCCAATGGCCACACAGCCGCCGATCAGTTAGGGGAAGAGAAGAAGGGAATGTGTGGCTGTTGAACCATCAAGAGAGCATCACAGTGAGCCAGGTGGCCCACACCTGTCATCTCTGTGCTTCACACACGGCCCCGGGAGATGGACAGGCCCTGGGCCACACTGCTTCCCACCACGTCCATTAGACTTGCTAATCAAGCATCCAGCTTTCAGATCCATTTGTTCTAGCCTTGGTGAAGATCGCTTTAAGATCCCTCCTGCCAGCTAGGCTCTGGTGGCTCACGCCTGTCATCCTAGCTACTCAGGAGGCTGAGATCTGAGGATCATGGTTCTGGGAAACTCTTAATCTCCAATTAACCACCAAAAACCTAAAGTGGAACTGTGACTCAAGGGAGCCTGGAGTGAAAAAGTTAAGTGACAGCACCCAGGTTGGTCAAGTCCCAGTACCGGCACAAAAAAATAAAATGTATGTATGCACAGGAGAGCAATGTCTTTCAGCATTATCCTAATCATTCCCTTTGACTTGATATCAACAGATTACTGCTGGCCCTTTGGACTGGATAAACCCACTGGGACTTAGTGGAAATTTGTTGTTGGTGGAGGTGGGAAGGGAATTGGGGCTGCAGGCAAGAGTGGGTTAATGTAGTCTGAGCAAGTGACATGGGGTCTCTGTCTCTTTGTGATGCTCTAAAGTACCAACCACAGGGCTGTGGCTGCGATTCACTGTGATCCACGGGTGCCAGCCACACCTGAGCATCGCTGCTTTTTATGCTGTGTTGGTGATGAGTCAATACTTTGCTCTTTTTCTTCGTCTTTGTAGTGTTGGCCCAGGAGCCTCAGGCTTGTTTCAGCTAATATGGAAATTCTGAGTCTTCTGTCTCTTTACCATTAGGCTCTTTGAATTGTGCATATTTCTAATTTGTTTTATTTTTCCACCGGTGCCATTGAAGGAATTAATTTTTAATTACACAGAATGTTTGCCACTTGGTGGAAGATGGATGTTTGTATTTAAGAAGCCACATTTGTGTTCTAGTTCAACATGAGGAAAATGGAAATGTTCAGTAGCCTGTAGCCTTCCCTGGGACAAGGGACATTTACTGTGCTTGCTGTAGCTTGCCATGATTGTGTATTCTACTGTTTTGCCAAAGTGTCTTCATACCAAATTGAAGGTGGTTTTATAATACGCCTCATAGAAGTTCTCTATAACCTTCTAAGGTATTTCATTTAAGATAAAACTCTTATTTATTCAAGTGGATTCAATCAAGTAGATTAGAATTTCCAGAAAGTAGAAGAAATACCACTCATTATCATTTAAATAAAAATAGGAATTTTGTAGCAGCAAGTATTTGACAGAGCTGTAATTGGAAAAATACGAGTCTGATGAAAAAGAATTCCTTTTTGCAGGATGATTTTCGGATGGCTTTGTACTGCATACTTCTTATGGTTTTTAACCACTGCTCTTCCAGTACTCCTCTAACTCAATCTTGGCTAAGACAATCTTCATGACTAAGAAGATTTTACATATTTTTATTCTGGAGACTACAGCTTCTTTTAAATACCAAAGAAGTTACTGGGAGCTATGCATTTGAATTGCAGCTATTTTAAGGATAGGGACTTGAGTTTACCATAGTGCCTTTCAAGTTGCCTTAGACTTTGGGGAAGATAGGTCATAATTTTGCAGTTAACATATCAGAGCACATTTTTATATGGTCTCTTCATGTAGATAAAAATAATAAGATTAGGTTTGCAGATTTTGGGTTTCAAGAGTCTACTGCCTTTAACCGTAGCACCTAATGAAATGTATAATAGTATAGCATATACACACAAGAACCATCATGAGTTAACTGAAAATTTTGTTTAAGTTTCATACCAAAGTCCTATATTTTTGTGTGTCAGTGTATTTTTCTACTTACCAGCCTGTGTAAGAGCAAAATGTTTCTTTAGCAAACCTTATGCCAATTAAGCAATAATAAAAAATGTGATCCAGTCTGTCAAGCTTGTATGTCAACATGACTTAGTTTCTCATCCCCCAAAATAATGTCAAAGGAGAAGTGAGACTAAAGGTGACACCCAGTGTAAGAATATAGATTTATAGATGCTCACTGAGGGGGAACAACATGTGGGGGAAAAAGCAATTTCAAAAACGTTCTATTGTGAGACTTGACACACTAGCAATCCCAGTTAAAATAAGAATGAGGGCTGGGAAGGTGGCTCAGTGGTAGAGCGCTTGCCTTGCATGCATGAGGCCTTGGGTTTGATTCCTCAGCACCACATAAGCAAAAAGAAAAAAAGCCAGAAGTGGCGCTGTGGCTCAAGTGGTAGAGCGCTAGCCTTGAGCTGAAGAGCTGAGGGACAGCGCCCAGGCCCAGAGTTCAGGCCCCACGACCGGACCCAAAAAACAACAGCAAAAAAAAACAAGAATGATTACCTGGCATTGGTGGCTCATGCCTGTAATCCTAGCTACCCAGGAGGCTGAGATGTGAGGATTGCAGTTCAAAGCCAGCCCCTGCAGGAAAGTCTCTGAGACTCTTATTGCCAATGAATCACCAGAAAACCAGAAGTGGAGCTATGACTCAAGGTGGTAGAGTGTTAGCCTTGAGCAAAAGAGCTCAGGGACAGTGCCCAGGCCCTGAGTTCAAGCTCCTTGATTAAGACTGAGTTGACAGCAAAGCTGGGAGACAGTTCCAGGAGCCTTGGGAAAGGGACATAGACGGATGACTGCTATTAGTCAGCCATGGACTGGGATGGGGATTCTGGCCTAGTTTGCTGCTTCAGTCAATCAGTGTGTCCCTGACCTCGGAGCACCTGCATTGCTGTTCCTTGTCTGGAATGCTTCTCACGACTCCCTCTCCCATCCTGTAAATCCTGTTCTAATGCCACTCCGTCCAGAAGGACTTTACTGATCACCCTTACCTAAAATGACAATCATTACCTGATTGTCACTCCCTGACCCGGTCATCCTGCTTCCCCCCCCCCCCCCCCCCACATCACTTTTCAGGGCTCAGTATGTTTCCAGCCACTTAAGGTTTGTCAGCTCCCTTCCCACAGGTAAACCCAGTTTGGGACTGGAATGGGTTTGTCCAGAGCCAACTGTGGGAAAGGAGTTCTTAGAGACAGCTCAAGGTGTGGTGAGCCCTGTGAGGCAAAGCACAAGCCAGAGATAGAATTCAGAAGTTCTCACGCGTTCCTGCAGGGCTGGGCCAGGTGTAGGGGCCAACAGCAGGTGTGTGTGTGTGCTGGGGGGGGGGGGGGGAAGCAGAGCTCGTTTGCAGTTCTGCGCCTGCGCGGAACACACCGGTGCGTTAGTCCTCCGGGCCGCCAGGGGGCACCAGTTGGATTCGGAGCTCCTCACTGGGACGCGCAAGCGCTTTCATCTCCGGAGTCGGAGGGCGGGGAAGACTCGCTTCCGACCGCGAGCCTCCGTCACTTCCGGCGAGCCCGAGTGTTTGGTGGGAGCGCGTGCGCGCGGGCTCGGCATGCGGATCGAGAAGTGTTATTTCTGTTCGGGGCCCATCTACCCGGGCCACGGCATGATGTTCGTCCGCAACGACTGCAAGGTGAGGGGGTCGAGGCCGAGCGCGCCCGGGAGCGCGCGCGGGTTGCCCCTGGATGGGCGGGAAGCGTCTCTGTGCCTGCGGGGAGGCCTGGGGCCTCGAACCCGCGGAGCTGCGTCGCGCGGGCGCAGCCGGGCACAGGCCGCGCGCGGGGCGGGGACGGGGTGGGGGGAGGCCGGAGCCCGCGCTGGGCGGAGGCGGGGGCTAAGTTTGGAATAATCTGTGCCATTTGTAAACCTATTTTACTGCATCACATCTTCTAAGTGGGATGCTTGTTATTGTTGTTATTATTACGTCTGCCAAGATCCACTCACGGGATTATTTCCTCCAGTAACACACAAGTTGCAGCGTCTTCATGGTCGTGGTAATATAACAACAATGCACTTTGGAACTAACCAAGTGAGTCTTGCATCCATTTCAGGGACCCAGGGAAGCGTCTTTAAGTCAGTCAGTTCTATCCGAGAGGATGAAGGTGGAGCTTTCGAGTAGTCACGACCTCCTAGTGGATTTCTGAATAAGTCCTTCAGGAAATAAGCTGTACAACTGGAGCGTTCGGTGGCTCACCGCCTGCAATCCCAGCGCTTGGGGAAGGCTGTGTTAAGAGCAGAAGCGCAAGTTTGGAGTGTCAGGCCAGCTTGGGTTAAAGAGCCAAGAACCTGTCAGAAAACAGAAATAATAATCATTTAAAGAAAGCGAAAAGCAACTTCACTCTATAACACACCTAACAGTCAACAGCGGGGAAAAACAAATCCGTATGCAGTTTTAGTTGCTATTGGAATTAGTTTGTGCCTTTGATAACAGAGAATCAAAAGATTTCAGGGTGGGTTTTTGAAATTTACCCTGATTGGGGTAGATAGAAAAGTGAATTTTAGGGCTGGGAAGATGGCTCAGTGGTAGAGCGCTTGCCTTGAATGTATGAGGCCCTGGGTTCGATTCTTCAGCACCACATAAACAAAAAGAAAAAAGCCAGAAGTGGCACTGTGGCTCAAGTGGTAGAGCACTAGCCTTGAGCTGAAGAGCTGAGGGACAGTGCCCAGGCCCAGAGTTCAGGCCCCACGACCGGACCCCCCCCAAAAAAAGTGAATTTTGAAAATTATGCTACATTGATAAGAGGCTTAAATGACTTTTTAAACAATTATTTCCTTTATCATGTTTTTATTTTCATTTCCAGGGGTAATTAGCCTTTAGTTGGGGTACAGTTTGATAGTTGCAAAACCCCTTTCATACTCTGATAGGCTTCCCATTTCTAAACGATGTAAGCAGGAGGAATTAGGAGTAAAAGGCATTGTTATTTCTCAGACTTGATAGTAGGTTTTTTTTCTTCTTTTTGTTGGTCGTGGGGCTTGAACTCAGGACCTGGGAGCCGTCTCTGAGCTTTTTTTTTTCCCTCAAGGCTAGTGCTCTACCACTAGAGCCACAGCTCCACTTCCAGCTTTTTGGTGGTTAACTGGAAATAAGAGTCTTATGGACTTTTCCTACTGGAGCTGACCTTGAACTGCTAGTCTCAGATCTCTGCTTCCTGTGTAGCTAGCATTACAGGTGTGTGAGCCACTGGCCCCTGGCTTATGATAGGAAAGGTTGAGTGTTGGCTTTTCAGTCTTTTAACTTCTCTTGTAGGTGTTTAGATTCTGTAAATCCAAGTGTCATAAAAACTTTAAGAAGAAGCGCAACCCTCGCAAGGTCAGGTGGACGAAGGCCTTCCGGAAAGCTGCGGGGAAAGAGCTGACGGTCGTGAGTATGGTAGCTGGCCCGGCTGGGTCTAGAGCAGGCTGTGAGGCTTCATTGTGTGATTCGAGACATCGGCTCCTGCAGGATTGGGAGGGAAACTCATTCTAGTTTTGGAGAAGTGGTTTTGTGTGTGTGTATGTCAGTTGTGGGGCCTGAACTCTGGGCCTGGGCGCTGTCCCTCAGCTCAAGGCTAGGGCTCTACCACTTGAGCCACAGCGCCACTTCCGGCTTTTTCTGCTTATGTGGTGCTGAGGAATCGAAACCTGGGCCTCATGCATGCAAGGAAAGCACTCTACCACTGAGCCACCTTCCCAACCCTGAAGTCACTGAGCTACATCCCATCCCTAGAAGTGATATTGTTTTATGGCGGGGGGGGGGGGGGGGGGGGTAGGGTAGGGGGGAGGTGGAGGGGTGGGGGGAGGTGGAGGGAGATGCCAGTCCTGGGGCTTGAACTCAGGGCTTGGACTCTTGTCCTTGAGTTTTTTTTTGACTTAAGGCAGTGCTCTCACTTGAGCCACAGTACCACTGCCAGCTTTTTTAGTAGTTAATCGGAGGTAAGAGTCTCAAAAGTCCTGCTGGCTTTGAACCATGATCTTCAGATCTCAGCCTCCTGAGTAGCTAAGATTATAGGCAGGAGCCACTGGCACCTGGCTTGTAGAATTGATTTTTCTTAGCTTTACAGAATTACTTTTAGGTCTTGCTAGCAAAGAGGGATTTGGTGGAATTGCTACTCAAGGATCTTGAGAGAAAGTTATTAATGAATAGATTACTAAGAAGTAGTGATCTCAGCCAGGGTTCTGGTGGCTCGCCTGTAATCCTAGCTACTCCGGAGGCTGAAATCTGAGGATCATGGTTCAAAGCCAGCCCAGGCAGGAAAGACTGAAACTCTTATCTCCAATGAACCACCAGAAAACTTTGAGCTGTGGCTCCAAGTGGTAGAGTGCTTGCCTTGAGCAAAAGAGCTCCCCTGGGACAGCGCCCAGGCCCTAAGTTTGAGCCCCATGACAATAACAAAGTAGTGATCTCCAGTGCAATTTGTAATAAATTCCTTTATTCGTTTCCAGATTTTTCTTAGCAGGACTTTGTATCTGAGAACTGACATATTAGTAGTGTCGGTGTAAGAGGCACTGTAGAGGCTGGTTATGTGAAGTTCTTGAGGTTTTATTTTAAATTCTTGTACTTATGAAAGATGGTGGTTTCATAGGGTTCACTTTAATACAAAGTTTTCTGGCTGTGAGTCACATCTGGGGGGGAATTGTCTCTACTATCTGCAGTTGCTGTATGCCACCCTCAGAAGGATGGGGTGCAACTCCTCTGCTTTGCAGTGACCTTTCTGAAGAGACACGTTCAGTGGGCTGTCTGTACGTGGGGATGTAGAAGGAGAGGAAGGTTGAAACCCTGTGTTCTCGCGATGACTCCAGAGGGGTTTTATTTTACTGTGCACCCCTCAGAAGTGTTGTGATAGGGTGATGTTTGAAGCCATGCTTCCTTCCCGTCTCCCTTACCAGCCCCTGGTGTTCCTTCTTGCAGGACAACTCATTTGAGTTCGAGAAACGTAGAAATGAGCCTGTCAAGTACCAGCGGGAGCTGTGGAATAAGACCAGTAAGTGCATGCGCGGGTTTGGCAGTGTTCACACATTCTGACTTGGGGTTCTACTAGGAAGAAACGATGGTTTGCTGTGTACATATTAAGTGTGTCATTTTTATTGCTTGGTTGGCTTTTATTCCTTTATTCTTGCTGCAGTGGTTTTGTTGCGTTTGTGTCTTTAGTCTCAGTGTCCCAGGTCCTTATATTATGAAATGATGTCACCATTAAACTTGAGACGGGGCACTGAATAGGTGCGGAAAGGACTCTGCGGGGCCCATATTCACAGCACCTAACTCACTCTCCAAGTTCAGCTGAGTGTGTTTAGGGATGAATTGCTTCCGTGCTGTTTCATGATCTGTGGGTGCTCCTCACGGGTGGTGTTCGCTGTCATTGTTCATGCATTGCAGTTCAGTATTCACGTAGGAAGCAGCGGTGTGTGCACGTGCGCATGGGCACGCACTTGCGTGCAGGTGTGGAGATGAATGAATGGGAGCCCTGCTGCTTGCTCAGCCTTCTGTAGATGGTAACCGGTTCCCATAGACCCACCCGCTCATCTAAAATAACACGTGTACTGTCTTAGGTACACCAGTGCTGACAGATTCTAAAATACAGTTGCACTTGGTTTTTTTATTTTTTATTTATTTATTTATTTTTTGGTCGGTCGTGGGGCTTGAACTCTGGGCCTGGGTGCTGTCCCTCAGCTCTTCAGCTCAAGGCGAGCGCTCTACCACTTGAGCTACAGCGCCACTTCCGGTTTTCTGGTGGTTTTTATTGGAGATAGGAGTCTCACGGTCTTTCCTGCCCTGGCTGGCTTTGAACCGCGATCCTCAGATCTCAGCCTCCTGAGTAGCTAGGATTACAGGCGTGAGCCACCAGCGCCCGGCGCACTTGGTTTTTTTAAAGTCAAGACTCTGGTAGCTATTTTCCAAAGCCATTAATTGTCATCAGTTCAATTTTTTTTTTAAGTCAAAGTAATGAAGAGAGGGAAGTTTGTTGAAGCACTCGTCGATAGACTCATATTACTTGAATGTACGTGCATTTGCTGATTTTTTAAAATTTTCTTTGTAGTTGATGCAATGAAGAGAGTGGAAGAGATCAAACAGAAGCGCCAGGCTACGTTTATCATGAACAGGTATGAGCATTTATTTAGACTAATGATATAAATTAAGATTAGTTTTTTTAATTTTTTTTTGCTAATGTGGTACTGAGGAGTTGAACTCAGCGTCTCATGCATTCTAGACGAGCACTCTACCACTAAGCCACATTCCCTGCCCAGATTAGTTGTTTTGTTTTGTCAACCCTGGGGCTTGAATTCAGGGTGTGGGCCTGGACCTGGGCCTGGGCACTGACCCTGAGCTTGTTTTGCTCAAGGCTAGTGCTCTACCACTTGAGCCACAGCGCCACTTCCAGCGTTTTCTGTGTATGTGGTACTGAGGAATCAAACCCAGGGCTTTATGCAGGCGAGGCAAGCACTCTACCACCAAGCCACATTCCCAGCCCCAGATTAGTATTTTTTAAACCTTATTTAGACATAATTTCAGACATAACCAAACTTGGAGGAAGAGTATGTGGACTCCCGTCAGTTCTGTTAGCATCTCCCACATTTCCCAGTTGCCAGGATGTGTGACGGGGGTGGGGCCGCTCGTGCTGCAAGCACGGGAGGGCGGGGGAGGATTGGCTGACTGCCTGCGCGCTCAGTGTGGCTCACGCCCTCAAATTTCACTACCGTCTAGGGAATTGATGCCGTGAAACGTGGCAGAAACTGACACTTCGTCTTTGCTGTGTTCTGTCCTAGATTGAAGAAGAATAAGGAGCTCCAGAAAGTTCAGGACATCAAGGAAGTCAAGCAGAACATCCACCTGGTCCGGGCCCCGCTCGCAGGTCAGTACTGCTTTGTGTGTAGGAATTTAAGTACTGCTTTCAGTTAGGAAATGGAAAAGAGACTCTGATCCGTGGAATCGGGGGCCAGCTAAATTTTTTTTTTTTAAATTGTCTTCAAATAATTCTACAAAGAGGTTTTGGTTTAACATGTCGATGTATGGGTACAATGTGTCTTGATTAGAGACACCCCCTCCATCCTATCCCCATCCCCAGCCCCATCTACCCATCCCCGTGTGTCTCCTTAAGTTCTAGCTCTTAAAGAGTATTTTGCATATTATGCAAATACATCATGTAGTATGCTGAGTTGGCTAATAAACAGTATTTAATGTTTCCCCCGTTCCAGCCTATTATGTATGGAATTTCTTTTTCTTTCTTAAAAGCTGGTCAACCACATAGTATCTGAGTTAAGTCATTACAGATGATTTTTTGCCTCAGTCTATTTTTTTTTTTTTTTGTCTGTCGTGGGGCCTGAACTCTGGGCCTGGGCGCTGTCCCTCAGCTCTTCAGCTCAAGGCGAGCGCTCTACCACTTGAGCTACAGCACCACTTCCGGTTTTCTAGTGGTTTATTGGAGATAGGAGTCTCATGGTCTCTCCTGCCTGGGCTGGCTTTGAACCGCGATCCTCAGATCTCAGCCTCCTGAGTAGCTAGGATTACAGGCGTGAGCCACCAGCGCCCGGCTGCCTCAGTCTATTTTGATTAAAGGACATTTTTCATTAATAGTTCTGAAACTCTGCTTAGGGAACTTAGTATATAAATACAAAGGCCTAGGTCCAGAGTAGCTCCCAATGTGATAGTGATTCTAAAATTTGGAGATTACTTTTTTTTTTTTTTTGCCAGTCATGAGGCCTGAACTCTGGGCCTGGGCGCTGTCCCTCAGCTCTTCAGCTCAAGGCTAGTGCTCTACCCCCTGAGCCACAGCGCCACTTTTTTTTCTGCTTATGTGGTGCTGAGAAATCAAATCCAGGGCCTCATGCATGCAAGGCAAGCACTCCACCACTGAGCCACCTTCCCAGCCCCTGGAGATTACTTTTTTTGTATTAGAACCTTTTTGTGACCCATATAATTTTACTGATTTGGGTGGCCATTTATTGCATAGTTTGTGAGGAGTTAAACTGCTCTTTAACCCAGCCTGGCTGAGTATAATCTGCTACCTAATACCTGACTGAAGCAGATGAATTCAAGGGGGCGAGAGAAACTCTGCCTAATCCTTAGTGTCAAGGCCAGGCTCTTTACGCCATGTGAGAAGATTTATGTAGAAGTCTTACCTAGGTTATGTTGGTACCAAATTGTGTGTAAACAAGATAGACAAATTACTGGACATTTGTTTCCGGTGGAGGTGATAGCATTGACACCCCAAAGCAACAGGAAGGAGCCATTGTTACCTTGCTTTTCAGGTAAAGCAAGCCTCTTAGAGGCAGGCAGCGCAGTACTGAAAGTGTGGGCCCTGGGTCCCCGTGACCGGGGTTCGAACCCCAGCTTGGACTCACTAGGCCAAGTCTGTGGCTCAGTTTTCTCATTCAGATGGGGTCTTCTGGGGTGATATGAGCAGTGTCTGTAGGATGTTTACTGTAATCATTTGCAAGATCTGTGTAAGTTTAACTGTTGACTTTTTTTTTGGCCAGTCCTGGGGCTTGAACCCAGGGCCTGGGTACTGTCCCTGAGCCTCTTTTGCTCAAGGCTAGCACTCTACCACTTGATCCACAGCAGCACTTGTGGTTTTTTTCTGAGGAATCGAACCCGGGCTTCTTGCATGCTAGGCCAGCACTCTACCACTAAGCTGCATTCCCAGCCCTGCTCTTGACTTGCTTAGACGTGGTCGATGTGGTCGATGTTACCGTTTGACAGTCTGGATCCTTCTTGATGTGGTCACATAAATCCTTATTTTCCTTCTTAAAGGCAAAGGGAAGCAGCTGGAAGAAAAAATGGTGCAGCAGTTACAGCAGGACGTGGACATGGAGGACGTGTCTTAAACATCTCGCTGACCACGCGTGGACGTTGGGGGATCGTCGGTGGAGACTTGGGACTTCCGAATCACTGATCGGTTACTTGACGTCTCTGGGGGGCGTTGCGCTCTGCGCGGCCTCAGCTGCCGGGTGCTGACCGCACCTCACATTGCGCCCTCACCACTCTTGCTCCCCCGCTGTGCGCAAGAGCATCATGTCACCTGGTTAATGGCACTGGACAGAGTTTGTGTAGTGACTAGATACAAGCATTCGGGACTACTGATGTCTACAAATGTTTTCTTGCAGTAAAATGGTTCCTGTATTCATGGTAAAGAAAGGGGGTAAGAGGATACAACCAAGAAATGTACGTGATAACCTTGGCAATCTTGTTTTGATCTCTGCCATTTCTGTTTGACGCCCTTGACTTCTTAGAGCCGTACAGTGGCCTTATCAGTGAAGCTCATTGTGCTGGACTGGTGTGGCCTGGTTGGCCCGCTCTGACAGGTGGTGGTGGATGCGGGGAGGAGAGTTGAACGATCTGTGCCCAAAATGGCACCGCATTGTTTTCTGCTTTGGAGCAGACTCAGTTCCAATGTGTGGTTCCTGGCTTTCCCAGCTGCCTTAGGAGTAGCCTTTTAAAATTTACTGTCTAGTTCTCTCTCTCTCTTTTTTAAACAACAAAAGAAGTTCTGGTTGATTTCTGTTTATTGTTTCTATTTAAAATGTAAAACCATTTTGAGCTCATGCCAGTAATCCTAGCTACTCAGGAGGCTAAGATCTGAGGATCAGAGTTTGAAGCCAGCCTGAGTAAGAAAGTCCAAGAGGCTCGTATCGCCAATTAACCACCAGAAAAGCCAGAAGTGGAGTGTGGCTCAAGTGGTAGGGTGCTATACTTGAGCACAAAATCATCACCCAGGCCCCGAGTTCATCCCCTAAGACTGGTATGCACATGAGCACATAGAAATAAAGCTATTTCTAAAGTAAGTTCCTATGTATGGATTCTAATAAAGCTTAGAAGGATCCATTTGGAAAAGAAGCAATTCCCTCTAACCCACTTCTTAAATAGCAGATAACAATTAAGGAGAAATATGTGCTTAATACTGTGTTTAATAGTAGTGTATGTTTATATTATTTATGACAAGTGTGCTAAAAATTTTTACATCATTTTTAGAGTAGAGTTTGAGGTACAGTTTTTAGGTAATTATAAAGTAATGGCTAATCTTATAAGTATTAGGTAATGAAAATGTGGATCAATGTTTGAAGAACTGAATTCCAGTGTGGCTTTGCCTTTTTTTTTGTGTGTCAGTCTTGGGGCTTGAACTCAGGGCCTGGACACTGTCCCTGAGCTTCTTTTACTCAAGGCTAGCACTCTACCACTGAGCCACAGCGCCACTTCTGTTTTTTTTTTTCTGTGTATGTGGTACTGAGGAATCAAATCCAGGGTTTCATGTGTGCTAGGCAAGTACTCTACCACTAAGCCACCCTCCCAGCCCCTGCCTTTGTTTTTAATTTATGAAATATGACACTTTTCCTTTTTGGTGTTAGTAGGATTTGAACTCGGGTCTTTTCTTTGTTGGCAAGTGTGCCCATGGTGTTGAAGTAGGGCATATTTTTGCTGATGGAAAGAAAGACTTACGGGAAATGGTAAAATGTAAGAAGCAGCATTTTTTGAGGGTTCCCTCCCCCCCACCACTGGTTACAATATTTTTAATATGAGCATGTTTAAAGTTGCATACAGTTAAGAAACAAGGTTTGTACCTTGCCAGCTCTGTCTGCTTGGCCTTGAGACCTGCCGCTGGGGAAATGGACTGCCCCGAAGAACTGACCTGTGTTCAGGCTTAGCATTCGGATGCTTCTCTGCACTGTCAGAATTTCAGTGCTTTGGGGACCCAGGTGATTCTTGAAGACCTTGCCTGAGCTGTGTGCTGTTAACACTTCGATCAGCCAAAACCTGTACCTACCCAGAACTTCTATACCCCAGTTGTTTTAAGAATAACAGGATTGGAACATACCCTTTAGACTAGCTGCTTACAAATCCCTTTTTAAAAAGCCAATTAGCTTACATTAGTTGTATGGAGGTGCCATTGTTACTTTCCATGTTTGCAATTTATTTTAGTTCATCTCTTCTATATCCCTGCCTTTTTTTGTTTTGTTTTGTTTTTTAGAACTTGCAGTGTGTACCCAGGCTGGCCTTGAACTTAAGATCCTTCTTCAGCCTCTTGAGTGTTACTATAGGTGTGTTCCACTGCAGTCAATCATGATGCTATTTTAAGAATGCAGAAAAACCCTTTCAAAATGAGGAAAAAACTTGAAAAGTAGAAACACTTGTTGGGTGCTGTTGGCTCAGGCTTGTGATTCTATCTACTTTGGAGGCTGAGATCTGAGTATCATGGTTCAAAGCCAGCCCAAGCATCAAAGTTTATGAAACTTACCTCCAATAAACCACCAAAACCCCTCAAAAAAGTGGAGCAGTGGAGCACTAACCTTGAACAAAAGAACTCAGGGATAGCGCCCAGACCCTGAGTTCAAGCCCCAGGACTGGCATACACTATTTATTTATAGTTTATTTATTTTGGTCGTGGGGCTTGAACTCTAGGCCTGGGCGCTGTCCATCAGCGCTTCAGCTCAAGGCAAGCGCTCTACCTCTTGAGTCATTGAGCCACTTCTGGTTTTCTGGTGATTATTTGAAGAATAAGAGTCTCATGGGACTTTCCTGCCCGGGCTGGCTTAGAACCTTGGTCCTCAGATCTCAGCCTCCTGAGTAGCTAGGATTACAGGCATGAGCCACTGGCTCCTGGTACAAAAGTTCTGAATCTGAATTACCTTGTCTTACCTTGTGGAGAGTGCCTTGGCCTAAAGCTGTCCTGAGTGAGCTCTGGGTTTTTTTCCTTCTCTTTTTGTAATGACACGAGTGGAAGCCAGACTTTTGCACACACTGGACAAGCTGTTTAGAACTGAGCTACGCCTGCTGTCCCTCAGGTTTAATCTTAGTTACTGGAGGCTAATTGTGTAAGGTTTGAGGAGGTGAATCTGTTCGTAGACTCTTACTCTGGCTCCCACTTTCATGGTCTTTCTCTCTAGCCTCTCATTGATACTTGGCACTCCATATAACCAAGGCCTTGGGGAAAAGAAGACATTCTTGTCCAAAGTTATCCAATACAGATCTAGTCTACACTCATACTGTCGCATCTGCCCTTTGCAGGTTATCAAGGAGTTCAGTATAGACTGCAAATGTATTACAGTCAGTACACCTGTGCAAAGGATACCACTACCATAAAACCACCTGCGCAGGCTAGAGCAGGCTGCAGGTGCCAACCTTCCCTGGCCATTAAGGTCTCCAAAAACCCCAGGTGGTTTTTGTTGCCACAAAGCTAGAGCCACAAGTCTTTTGATTTATGCAGAAGACTCCATTTCTAGATGGGTCAGAGGAGGACCAGAAGATCCCCGAGGATGCACAATGGAAATGACAACCTGTGCCATGACCTCTTAGTGTCTTTGCATTTGCAAACAGGCTAAGATACCGCCCGTGAGCGCTGCATTTCACACCCACGTGGCAGCCTTGGGGAGAATGGCCATTTTGCAGACAAGAAAGCTGGAGGTAAATGGTTGGATTTCTGTCACTGGTGAACACCCCGCAGAGCTTTCATTTGAGCTTTATATTTTGTTTTTCTTTGTGCCGGTCCTGGGGCTTGAACTCAAATTCTGGGCGTTGTCCCTTAGCTTTTTTTTTTTTTTTTTGCCCAAGATGGCTGTTCTATCTCTTGAACCACAAAATCCACTTCTAGCTTTGTTTTTTTTTTTTTGATGGTTCATTGACGGTAAGAGTCTCATGGATTTGTGTTTTTCCTGCCCAGGCTGCCTTCAAACTGATTTCCTTGGATCTTAGCCTCCTGAGTAGCTGGGATTACAGGTGTGAGCCTTCAGTGCCTGACCAGACTCATAAAAGTTGAGGTAGTGAATCTGATCATACTCTCAGACGCACAGCTTACGGGGTAACCCTCCTCCGTGGGTTAGTTCAGAGGAACCTCGGAACTAGCATTCAGATCCTCTTTATTTGAACTGAGGGGGAAATCTCCAAGCATTACAGTATTTGCTATGGTTTGAATGTATCTCCTTCCCCTTGCGGCCCCCCCCCCCCCAGCCCATCAGGTGTGTGACTTCACTCATTATGCAACAGCCTTGGGAGGCGAGACCTGATTGGAGGTTTCCGTCCTGGAGGCTCCGCCCCATGAATACATTAACGCGGACTATAAAAGGCTCGGCTGGGCTTCCCTCTTGGGTGGCTGTCTCAAAATGGCGGAAGAAGGGCCTGGTCAGATGCCGTTCCTTGGTGTTTTCTGGAAGACGCCCTTGGTTCGGGGACTCCTCAGCCTCCAGAACTGTAAGCAATAAGCCTCCGCGCTTTGTGCATGGTCATACAGGGCCTTTTAAGCGCCTTGTCGGGCGTCCAGGGGCCGCACCGTGACTGCGGCCTACAAGGTTTGGGTTGGGCCGCAGGCGGCAGGGGCGGGGCCGGCCTCGAGACTGACAGCTGTGGGGGCTTTCTGGGGCGGGGCTTACGCTGCGGGTGCCCGGGCCCTGCTTCAGCCCGGACATTGGTACCAGGTGATTCCAATGTGTTCTCCATGTGACCCACCTCACATGTCTGAACAAGTCTTCGTGGAGAACTAATGCGTTTTCATGCAGTCCTCTCAAGATGCATTTTGTCAAATATTTTGTTTATGTGATCAAAAATCTGACCAAGATCATGGGAGTAGGGGGTAGGTGTGGGGTGTGTGTGTGTGTGTGTGGCAGTCAGTGTCAGTTCTGGGCCTGAACTCTGGGCCTGGGCGCTGTCCTTCAGCTCTTCAGCTCAAGGGGAGTGCTCTACCACTTGAGCCACAGCACCACTTCCGGTTTTCTGATGGTTTATTGGAGGTTAAGAGTCTCATGGACTTTCCTGCTGGGGCTGGCTTTGAACTGAGATCCTCAAATCTCAGCCTCCTGAGTAGCTGGGATTACAGGTGTGGGCCACCGGTGCCTGGATTTGGGACTGTTTTTAACATGATACGTGCATAACTGTTATAACACTTACACACTTTTCTGAGTACTTACTTAGATAGTTAAGTGGATGCTTTTTTAAACTGTGTGTGTGTGAATGTGAGTGAATTCTTGAACTCAGGTCTTGGGTGCTGTCCCAAAGCATTTTTGCTCAATGCTCACACTCTACCATTTGAGCTACAGTACCACTTTCTGGCCTTTTTGGTGGTTAATTGGAGAAAGGAGTCTCATGGACTTTTCTGCCCAGCCTGGCTTCTGACTATGATCCTCAGATCTCAGCCTCCAGAGTAGCTGGGATTACAGGTGTGAGCCACTGTGGGCCACAAAGATAATCATTTCTGGCTGGGCGCCAGTGGCTCACGCCTGGAATCGTAGCTACTCAGGAGGCTGAGATCTGAGGATCACGGTTCAAAGCCAGCCTGGGCAGGAAAGTCCATGAGACTCTGATCTCCAATAAAACACTAGAAAACCAGAAGTGGTGCTGTGGCTCAAGAGGTAGAGCGCTTGCCTTGAGCTGAAGAGCTGAGGGACAGCGCCCAAGCCCAGAGTTCAGGCCTCACAACCAACCAATAAAATAAAAAAAAGAAATATACTCAGGGCTCCAGTTTCTTGAGTTCAAGCCCTAGTGCTGGCATAAAAACAGAACAACAAAAATATACTTTAAGGAAATAGTCATGTGATCAAACATGCTCGTTAACAGATACAGAGATATTCACCGTATTTTAGCACAGCATTGAAAAAAAAGGAGGGGCAGCTGGTTGCATCAGTATGAATTATAGACTGTACTTTGTAATGATACAATGTTAAATGAAAATGATTGGTTTCATAGTTGTTTGGAATATTTCCTCTAACATGGTGGATTTTTTTTGGCACTAGTATTGGAGTTTGAACTCATTCATGGTCCAAGCATTGTCCCTTAATTTTTTCACTGTAGGCTAGTGGCTTTTTGATATATTGGTATATAAATTTCAGGTAAGAGTATCATGGGGGGGGTGGAAGGAGGAGGAGATGGGAGGGCAAGGATGGTAAGGGGAAACAAAAGAGGAGGTAACAAAGCTTGTTAAGAAATGTACTCATAGCTGAGCACTGGTGGCTCATGCCTATAATCCTAACTACTCAAGAGGCTGAGATCTGAGGATCATGGTTCAAAACCAGCCCGGGCAGGGAGGTCTGTGAGACTCTTATCTCCAATAGACCACCAGAAAATGGAAGCAGTGCTGTGGCTCAAGTGGTAGATCACTAGCCTTGAGCTGGAGAGCCGAGGGACAGTACCCAGAACCAGAGTTCTAGTGCTATGACTGGGAAAAAAAAAGAGAGTCTCATGGCCTTTCCTGTTGAGGCTGGCTTCAAACCACCATTCTCAAATCTTAGCTACGTCTTCTTTTTTTTTTTTTTTTGCCAGTCCTGGGTCTTGAACTCAGGGCCTGGGCACTGTCCTGAGCTGCTTTTGCTCAAGGCTAGTGCTCTATCACTTGAGCCACAGCCCCACTTCTGGCTTTTTCTGAGTAATTTTTTGGTGATAAGAGTCTCGTGGACTTTACTGCTTATGCTGGCTTTGAATCCTGATCCTCAGATTTCAGCCTCCTGATTAGCTGGGATTACAACAGGTGTGAGCCACTGGCTCCCGGCCTTAATTTTTTTAAATTGTTACTATAAAGGTAATATCCAGAGGGGTTACAGTTTCATAACAGGTAAAGAGTACCTTTCTTTTGGGATGATGTCCCCCCTTCCCTTGCTCTCCCATTTTTTTCCTGGCGTCCCCACCCACAAACAGTTTAGTTCATTTCCGACATAGTGTCCAATGAGTACCACTGCTGCCTCTGTTCACCCTTTGTCCTCCGTTAAATCTTACCTTGAATAGGTAGGATGAGGGGCACGGTCCACCAGTGCCCGGCTTTCCAATGCTTTTATCTGGAGGGCCCTGGGCTCTGGTGGGTCATTGCTCTCCCACAGCATGGGTGGGTGAACTGGCCGACTTCATCATGAACTATGTCTGCCCAGGGAAGGTCCCTGTTCCCTGTTTTGGATCCATTGCTCGTGGAGGTTCATGGTCTATTGTCCAAGAGCCAGAGAAGAGAAGTGTTCTGTCACTGTCCTGCGTGGAGAGGTGGGGAGCACAGCAGGTATGTCCACTGCCCAGAATATGAGCCTCATACATCCAATCCAGCTCGTGTCCAAACCGAGCGAGTAATTGGTTGTCTTCCTATGTGCATTGGAATGCTGTGGTTTATAAGGTTCAAAATGGGCTCTAATATTGCCATGTCTTTTTAGGTTCAGCATGGTAAGGTTGAGCTATGAAACACATTGAATCGTACATTTCATCTACAGGGGGTGGAAGCTGCTCACTGATGACTCACATCTGTCATCCTAGCTACTGCAATCCTGAGGATCACAGTTCAGAACCAACCTGGGCAGGAAACTTTGTGAGAATCTTATTTTCAATCAGCTAGCAAAAATCCAGAAGTGGAGCTGTGGCTCAAGTGGTAGAACGCTAACCTTGAGTGAAAAAGCTAAGGGACAGCACCTGACTTCAAGCCCCACTACTGGTGTACACACACACACACTCACTCTCACATACTTACACACATACACAGTCAGTGAAATTGTCTTAGTTTGTGGAAGGTTTGTGTTCTCTGTAGAAATCTCTTGGACCAAGTAGTGTTTCCATTGCTTTGAAGTCGTGAGTGCTATTTGGGGAATGAATAGTTTCCACTGTCAGGTTTCTTGGATTTCGTGGGCAGGGCAGGTCATGTTTCCCTGATGGGATTCTTTACTTTTCTTATTCCAGCCTGTATATCCTGCCTTAGGCAACTCTTTGCATGCACTTCCTAAGTGTCATTTCCTGCAGCCAATTCATTGGGGCTCATGACTGTAGTTGTTCACTTGGTTATGTCTAGAGTTTCTTTACTTGTCC